TCTTTTTGTCCTCTTTATATATATTTGTTGTCTGGTGCAACATATTGTTAAAGTGGTGATTGTCGGAGTTTTTCTAAAACCAACATATGCACGCTAATCTTTTATTCCATGATTTGTGTTTATAATCAGATGTTCTGTACTTCAATGTCAGTATAAATACTATTAATTGATGCAGTGTATTAACAGGGTACTGAAATGAGAGAAGCTGGTATTTAACAAGAATTTTGTGATTGGTGTGTTCTCCTCCAGCTCTCCTGCTCCACCAGCGGGCCAGGATGGAGCGTCTTTTGAAGGAGCTGATGCTGGAGAAGCAGAAACTAGAGCAGCTCAAGGCTGATGTCAACAACATGGAGTATGACGCGCTTCAAAGGCGCTTTCGACGAGTAAATTCAACCAGTCATATACCTAGAGTAAGGACTCGTTATTAACACTAGTTATGCATTTGTCAATTTTATGTCACCACATATCTATTTTTATACATTTCCATATGCTCACAAAACATGATGCACAACCACAGAATGGTTGCCTCATGAAAATACTTTTCTAGGGAGGCTTAGTTGGATCTATCAGCTACATTGCAACTGACATTCTGGGTGCACAACAGGCTTTGAACTTCTACTATTTCAAAAAGCAGGAAAGTATTAAAAGTAAAATTTCATGGTTGAGTTGTCCAAGTTCAGGGGAAATGCAGTAATAAATCATTGTAATAATGAGACAGTTTAGAAAGGAGCACTGGAGAATATTTGGTGATCTGTTTTTATTCAATCTAACTGGGTTGCGTGTTTGCTCTGACTGCAGCCTGAAGAAATGACCCGATTGCGGAGTTTGAACAGACAGCTTCAGATTGATATCGACTGTACCCTGAAGGAGACAGATCTGCTGCAATCTAGAGGTATACATACACATACACACACATACACACACACAAACCACATGCTCGCACAGAAATGCACATTCCTGCACAAACCTTTGATGTGTGTCTCTGTTTTATTTGAAAGCATTGATCTTGAAAGAGTGGAGCCCAGAGGCAGACAGAGCTGGGTCCTAAGTGATGGATGGCACTCCATCGCACTGCATACAGATTGAGTTCTCAAAAATGACCGATTGGTCCTTGACAGGACGTGGGCCGATCCACGGTTGACCCTCACTGAGTCTCTTCACAGTGACTGACTGATAGATGATCCTTGTAGATTACATCATTTATAACACTGCCCCTAACTTCAGTGTGTGGAAATAAGTTGTAATGCTTTATATATTTACCTGGAGTGATGATATTAGAAGCTGACACAGTGTAACTGGCAGTAGGCTCAAAACCCGGGACCACTTTCAATTAGTCCTTTGCCACTGATCATTTGGACTGTAAATCTCCTCCCGAGTCACAGTTCTCTTGCAGACTTCAGCAGCGTTTCCTCCACGACGTATTCTGTGTTTATTTGACCCTCTATCTTGACAGGCCTTGCAGGGTTGCACTTTAGAGAAGCATCCCCACAGCATGATGCTCTCATGTCAGGCTTCATGGTTGTGATGGTGCGTTTCTGTTGATGTGTCATGTTTGGTTCAGAACCGATACAAGATGTTTCAGGCCAATGCTGATTACAGTTGTACTATATGCCATTGTAACGTTCCAGACAGTACGTTGTCCTGTTTCAATCATAATTACCAGGTATATTTGGCTGATACTGTTCAACATCCAATAAAGTTAGCTAGTCTCCAAGACACAGACGCAGCAAACAACTTCCATTTGTTGTGTATTGTAAAAACATGACGATGGAGCGACAGACAGTATCAGAGCTGCAGATTTATTTCAGTTGTCAAAGTGGACAAAGTCAGAAGGGCACTTCATAGGGACAGGCGGGGGGTTGTTATTTGGTCAGTTATTATTATTTTTTTCAAATAAATAATTAATCTTTACATTTTGCACATTTGAGCTTTCACTTTCACTGGTGAACCGGCAGTAACTGAACTGACAAGAAAGTTGTGGATTTATCTATCAAATAAATTTTCGGCAAACGCAGATCAAGAAGATATCATGTACACATCTTATTTTAAACACTGCAGTTTTTCTGTGATGCTCTTCCCCAAAGTTGTGACTGGGGAATCACCTGGGTAGCAGTTGTTCAACGTCTCTTCTCTTTGAGCCTGACAGCGCTGTTTACTGTCGCTAGTGCCTCTCTCACACTCCACACTCTTTTGAGTTTTTGTCAATAAATAAATCTGAACTTGGAGAAAATAATTGCGTTTGCAAATCAATATAAAACATCATTTGTGTTTAAATGCTAACACATGCAAGTTTGTAGGTGACAATAAAATAGACAGTTAGAATGAGGTATCATATTTCTCCCATGGGTGTTTGCAACTATTTATTTCTGTTTTGGTCATTTAATATTATTTTTATACATATATACAGAAATATTCCTTCCCCTCTCCTCACCCTCTCTTTCCAAACATAAAAAAGAAACTTTGGTAGCCTTTAATTGTCATAAAAAAAGTTTGTTCAGTCTGGACTAATGTAAAAAACACGACGGCCTCCCTATAGGGTCCCCTCAATGTGAATATAAAGTATTTAAATATAAAGGACATTTTCTGGGGTAAAGAAAATTACAATTCATACAAATTAGATGAAATGAACTACTGAAAACATCATGAGCATTATTCTACATTAAATTTCTGCCAATAGATCCCTTTCACCTAAATCTTACACACTGGACCTTTAAGGTCTAGACCAGTTTGAGTGTCCAAACTCACAAAAAAGTGTAATTGCGATCAGCCAATATATATGCAAAATTAGCTTGAATGCTTTTTGTGTAGTCAGCTGTAAGCAAATGAACACCCTTATTTCATGTTAACTCAAAACAATATCTTGTGTCCAAGTGAACTAGGGTTTCCTGGCAAAATCCTGTAAAAGTCTCAATCGTGCTTTGAATTTGATTGTTTATTTAATAGCTGGGATTCCCAAGAGGCTGCTAAGATCGAATGAATAAGAAAAACACAAGGTGCTGTGTTGGTCAGGACATGTTGCTTCAGGTGCCACAGATGATAAACTACAACTCAGGATGGTCAGTTTGAAATATGGAGCCATGAACTTTAAGGCTTTTTGTAAACCAAAACACAAGTATTTGGTTATATCACAATGAGGCAGAATTTTACAACTCTGGAAAGTTATTACATGTTATAAATTAGTCCAACAGGAATGTTTATGCACTTGCATGAATTTGATAGGTCAATATGTTTAGTAGCTAGATGATGTGTCATTATGCTGCTGCAAAACTTTAGCTAAATTCAACTTATCTTCCTGTCATCCCTGCATTTTTTTAATCCTGTGTGCTCTGCAACAAATGCTGAGGCCTCCATTCCCTCTGAACACCACAGCCAGTCAAGAAGCCCAAAGAGAGAAGCTAGAAGCCAGTTGGGCTTCTGGCTGGGATGGGAACTTCTAAATAATCATCAATATCAAATGTATGCTTTTCCTCCACAGGGAAGTTTGACCCGAAAGCAATGAACAACTTTTATGACAACATCCAGTCGGGTCCAGTTGTGCCGCCCAAACCTGGAAAGAAAGGTGAGAATTGTTCAAGAAGTTTTTGGGCCATGAATAGGAATCATGAGATACTTTCTTAAGGATGTGTTAAGGGGGTGGATTTCCTACATGGTAGAATCATGTGGTAATACTGTAGCTAAGAAATTGATTTTAGTTTCTTTGCATGACCATTGAAGTCCTTGTTACTCTTATATTTGTCGTATTTGGCTTCCAGCACATTGAGTGGGACATTTTTTAGAAAATGGAGAATAAAAGCTAAACAGACCTTGGTCTGTGTTGGCCTCCACAAATCTGTTGGCATGGAAACACGATGAGAAACCTTGCTGTTAAGTGAATGCCCATGTCTATCAACATTTATATTTAAATAGTTGATGCTTGAATGCGTGCCTTGCACATTTGTTGAGTAACAGCCATGGTTAATTCCAGCCTTGAGCTGATGACACTTAAATTGTTGCTGCATTTTACGCTTTTATCATAGAACTAAACAGTCTTTTTTATGTTCTGCCTCCTTCTGTCAATGTCAGAGGGGGAGCAGGGCTCCAAGCCAACGCCGAGGCCTCAGAGGGACGAGGACTTTGAAGGCGCCCAGTGGAACTGTGAAAGCTGCACCTTCCTCAACCACCCTGCACTCAACCGCTGTGAACAGTGTGAGATGCCACGCTACACCTGAGCTTAGGTCTGTGCTGTATTTCCCCACCCCTTGCCAATCCTTGGATACTATAAGCCCCTCCAGAATCTGCAGAATCTGTCTAGAGGTTTTCCCGGTCAATCAATATATACGTCCCTCTTACCTGCTGAGGAGGAGCCTTCTAGACTTCTTGTCCTGCTCCCATCCACTACTCCTGTGCACTTTGTCCCTTGTTTCTGTTGGCGGAAGATGAATCTTATTTGCGGACCGTTAGAGACTCCAAATGTATAAAGAGGAAGTGACATGCTGCGTCTCTGGCAGTGGTTGGGACGGGAGGCTCCTGAAAGGTCTAAACCATTGAGGGTTTTTAACGAGGAGGAGTTCCAGCTTACCTAGCGAACATTCCACGCAGAATGAGTGACTGCCCTGTTTACACAACTCTGCCCATTCCTGAACTCAACATGGAGGAATCTCTCTTAAATCCAGAACCTGTAACTCCCTCTGTGACGGTGGATTAATGAAAGCAATGGTATATAAGTTCTGACTAATGCGAAATGTAGACTGTACACTGTATCTAGCTCTGTATTAGAGCTCATTTCACTGAAAGAACACTAAAGACACATGCATTTAAGTATATTCCTGGTACTTTAATGCATATTATGCCACCCTGTATTGTGTTCAAAAGATGTTGATTTCCTGTGCAAATGCCTCAACTTGCTGTACTTAATAAAGGAGCTGATTCTATGTGACTTGACCGTGCAGCTTGCATGTCTGTATAGCTGATGTCATAACTCACACACGCTCCCTTTCCCCTCCAAAGGAACCAAATACAACTTTTTTTCACAGTACATGTTTATTATGTTAGTAATCAAACCAGTGGGAATCAAATACAGCAGCACACGGCTGTGGCATGCACATACACACTCTCTCTAATGTAGGAAGGGGGAACTGAAGCTTCTGACCATTTTAAATAAGGTTTGAGAGGATGTTCATTACCAGAGCAGATCATTGTAGGTCTACCCACCCCTCATGTTCACCCTTTGGGAATGAAACTTTAAAGTTTCTATTTAAAGTCCAACTCCAGTAGCTTATTACACTCCCTAAAACTAAAAATTACATATTCAGGTAATGAAAAAATCCCCCAATGGACTCTAAATGACATAAATATAACTGTACACTTTCCCTCCTCACTCTCTCTGGGATCTATGAATATGTCTCCCCACCCTCACTGCTCACTTGCAGTTGAGAATCCTTTTCCAGCTGCTGTGCTCCTCTCACCTCTCATAGGTGGACAGGATTGGTTTCCTAGGTTTGTGACATCACAAACCCTGGCTGTCTGAGGTCCCTTTCACAAATACAGGAATGTATCAGCGGTGAACCTTCGCCTCCTGTGTGCTTCCAGTCTGTGCAAGCAAACTGCAGGACTTTCTTGTGGAGTTCAACTTTTGAACCGTGTTGAACCGAACCCATGTTTGCTGTGAGTGGACCCTGAGTCCTTCTTTTTCAGACTTTTGTTAACTGCAGTGGCGTTGACTTCTTATTTCACTCAAAATATGATTATCCTATAAAAACTAAAGGGGGACATGTTAACATTGATTTTTAAATGGGGTCGATTGTGTGATCACTCTTCCTAGTATGAAGTATAAAGTATTAGGGACCTTAATTTAGCAAGAAACTGTCATCTTCTTCTATAGCTTCTCCCTCCCATTTGAAAACTGTTGCTTTTTAATGGTGCCACTTCTACTGAGAGCATTCCTGTTTCCTTTGAGAGGAGAGATAAAGAGGCATCACATGGGCTTGTGTGTGCACGTCCATGCCATGTGGTATGATCATGCAGAATTGTGCACTCACTCAGCAGACATGGTCATTTGCCATCTTCCTCCTCACTGGTCTGCTTGGAATGAATATTACTTAATTATGTTAACTGCACATACTTACATATAATACAACAAAGGTAAAACTCAGGTTATGCTGCAGGCCTTATTTAGTAGCCATAAGTTTTACTACAGTTTACGTGTAAGAGACACACCTGCTCATTAACCAGCAAATGTGGAGGGTTTTCCCTGTTTTTAGGTAGTTCCTGTTTATTATCAGTATCTGTCAAACTCAAAGAGGGCAGCAGAAAATAAAACCAGTCCACTGGAGCGTCATGACATGTTTTCATCAAAGTAACTTCTAGAGGAAGACAACAAAGCAAAGTTCCAGATGTAGTGTATCTGTGGGGAAATGTGGCATTTTGCATTTCCTTAGGTGGACCCAGTCTTCCTCGCTTTGTCATCCTCAGGATGTGACTTGAATAAGACGTTTCCTCTTAATTCCCTGATCTACTGGAGTTTATGCTTTTCATCCCCTCTGCAGCTCTGATTGGATGAATTAGTCCACCGATTCATCCTGGTATGGGGTCAGTGAATCCATCTGTTCCCTCCAGATTTTCTGCCCAAATCTGAGACCTACTGGAGTTCCACTTAAAGGGGACACACATTTATCTGAATGGTGACATTGTCTTACCAAACGAAACTGGCTGGTTTTGGATTTCTTTCTCACAGCCGGCTTTGCTCCCAAAACCCCCCTGAAAGAGCCCAGGGCTTCAGTCCAATAAGTGTGGAAAGTCTTTGAGACAACAAGTCAAGGGGCTCGATTCCAGCATTAAAACTAACAATTAGCATTTGTGTTTGGAATTTTTATGCCTTTACATTGGCGATAGCTTTGGCCAGAGTTTTTGAGGTTGTCCATCCTTTTGTCCGTCCTGCTCTTGTGAAAACAATATCTCAAGAGCGCATTGAGGGAATTTCTTCAAATTTGGTTCAAATGTTCACTTGAACTCAGGGATGAACTGATTCGAATTTGGTGGTCAAAGGTCAAGGGCATTGTGACCTCACAAATAATGTTTCTGGCCATACCTCAATAATTCATATGCTAATTATGACAACAAACACTTAATTCCATCTATAAGACTGGATAGACACACGGCAGTAATTCTACTTGAAGTCTGTGGTTGTGAAACTTTGTAACAGACAAAAAGTTCCTATTACTGAGATGACCGAGTCCTGGTTTCTCCTCTCGTCTGGCATATTCTTAGTAGTAGTCTTCATAGTTTTTGGGGTTGAGGCAGTAGAGTATGGCGCCTCCAAAAGAGAAGATGGTGGACCCCCAGGCCAGACCGTAACCCCAGTTGAACTCATGATACACCCTCAGACTGACCGTCTCTATGAACTTGATGGGGAACAGGACCAAGCTGCACACCTGAAGCACCACTGCAAAGGAAGAAAATTGAGAGAGAAGGTATTTATGTCAAAAACACGTTTAACATAAGTGTTGTTATATGTCACTGAACAACGTACAGAAGCTGGAAAGTGATTTGAGGTGCACTAAAGCCACTGAAATCTTACATTCACATTTGAAACAAAGCAGGATTTATTTGCCTTGGAGTCCCACCATGACAGTCAACCTACTATGCAACCTACATTTCTTTTGGAAGCTGGACAGTCATTGTTTTGTATTATTGGATTATCCCTTAGCTCTTCCCTTTTGTTTTGTTTTTTTGCTTCCAAAGGACGAATCTCTTTCTACGTACCTGCAGAGAACAGCATGATGGCCACAGGCTTGTAGCAGCGACTTCTGGAGCTGACGCACAGGGACACCAACGCCACGAGGAGGGAGAGCAGTGTGAGTACCGCCCCCCCCAACAGCAGGGCCAGCATGGCTATCTGCCAGTCTGAGGCAAACACACACAGGGACAGAGAGAAGGGGGGGGGGGGCATGAAATCACACTGAGATAGAGCATGACATAGGTAGCTAAAATGAGGTTAGACTGGAGAGCTGTGTCCATGCTGCTGACAGCAGAGAGGAAGGTGCAGAGATAAATGGAGAGGGGGAAAAAGAGGCAGGCTGCAGAGTGGGTCGCAGGCCGCTGCCATGCTCAAACTCTCACAAGAGAAAAATGAATAACCACTGTGTAAACACAAACTATTTGTGGTTCGAGGGATGAGACAACTCCCCTCTGCATATTCTCAGAAACTCAACGATTGCTCATAACGTTTTGATGTGAGCCACCGGGGAGCTGTGGCCAGTGGCAGCACAAGAATGTGAACCACGCGGTGAATGACCCTCAAACCAAGCACAGCAGTTTTCTGGCTGACAAGAAGCAAACAAACGCACATACGCTTGGTTACCCACAGATTTCAACGAGCTCAGTAATGGATCCCCAACGCAGCAGAAAGACAAAGTGATTCTTGTGGGGTGATTCAGATAATGAGTATCCCTCCCTCTTGGTGAAAAGCTCAGCAGCGATCTCAGCTTTTCATTTAGATTTAGTAGAAAAACACTCAACTGGAAGAAAAGAAAACACATCTTAATCTCGTTTCCTATCCTTGTTGGAGTGGAAGCAGAAAGAAAACAGGAAGGGGAAGAACCTGTTGGTCAAAAAAGGTCAACAAATATTATAGCAGAGATCAAAGGAATCACTTTAACACACTAAAGAAAAAAAATCGAAATTATGGAGACTTAATTACCACAGGACAGAAACTGGGGATTGTAGTGAGACTGTTGCGTAACTTTGCTGTGTACTCACGAAAAACAGGAGGTGCACATGTAAACAGGCAGGGGATATTATGATGAAGCATTTGATTACACAGTAGGAAATAATTTAAAGTACACTGGGTGTAAAAAAATATAACATTAAAGTATAAAGGGGGGTGGGCTCTAAATATTGGTATTCCAGTAGACAGACTGACAACATTTTCATCATGTTTCTTTTTAGTAAGTATCAATGCTCAGGAAATAAATGAAGTTTAAGCACTGCCAAGAATGTTTCCTCTCTGTTGAGGCAGAAAATCATTAAACATCCACCAGTGAAAAGAAAGTGACGGAACGTAAGCAGCTTAAAGTACAGTTCCCACTCGTGTTGGAGGGAGACTTTATTCTAGGAGGCCAAGCGGCTCAAATATAAACAAACATCAACTGCTTTTGACCAAATATGGCTCAGGATTTAGAGTTTAAAAATGGGCCCTGTCACCACAGGATGTTGGAGAGAGCCCACAAAAAGCAGAGCATCCGTTCCCCTCCGGCCTCCAGCTTGCATAACACCAGGCCCCCTCAAAGACTGACCCCTCATATTTCCCTTTGCCACTGCCTCGCTGGCTGCCTCACAGTAAAACAAAAAAAAAGGCCATGGCGACTTGACCCGCAGCTGTCAATGCAAATTGCTGGAGAGATACAGTATCATCTCTAGGTCAGTTTGGTGCCTTCAGCCAAGCCAGTCTGCAACCAAAAGGCCTTATCAGTGCAGCCGCGAAACAGCAGGATGCAGAGAGTCCTCTCATCTCAGATTTGGAACACACCCTGTGTCCGCCGTGCAAGAAACACAGCCAGAGTTATAGCGCTTAAAGGCTTTGACGAGCAGGAAGTGCCAAACTATTAATCGGGGCCCTGCATGATGACAGATGGAAAAGTAGATACAGTACACGAGATCTAATCTGAAATTAATTTTGGGCTCTTATGTGTATTTTTTGGGGCTGCCAAAGTGTTGCTTGAAAAAAAAAATCCTTCAGGGTCCCATTTCTCTTTCTTTGTCTGAGACAATGGGAGAAGATTTGTGTCACAGAGGAGCCTCGAGTGTCTCTCTCTCTCTCTCTCTCTCTCTCTCTCTCTCTCTCTCACTCTCACTGTCACACTCACTTTCTCAGAGAGTGAAGGTAGCAGGAAGATCTTTAACCAGAGGCCCCTGGTTCATGACTTCATGAGTCGAGACATTGAATCCCTACCAGCTCTGTGAAGACCACACTGTTCAAAGAGAAGACATTCACAAAGTACAGGCTCCGTAACATAGTACATTATTAATATGCTTTGGCATCACCGCGTCTGATTGAGCAGGACTCACTCACACGCTGGCTCCACATTTATCCCCTCATCTCACACTGACCTGGCATCCACACACACACACAGATTTTGCGTGACCATACCACATTCCTAGCCCTGTGTCTTTTTTATGATTTACCTCTGACCCCATGCGTTAGTGTGTGTCTAAGAAAAAAAACAGAAAGAGAGGGAGAGCTGCCATATGTTTCTGTATATTTTTAACACTTCATGAGCCTTTAACAAGACAATATTTCATGTCTCCTTTCTAATCCACACTGCAACGCTTTGTGTTTTCCTGGACACACACACACACACATGCAGGCCTTGCAGTACAAGCTCAAAACATCTGAGCGGCCAGCGGATGTTTCAAACTAACAGGATATATTTAATGCCAATAGCATGACACTGAGGAAATATTGGGGGGCTGACTAGAGAGACAGAGGTGGGGGGGTAGAAACTGATTACTGGGATTCAAATCAATAAGCCAAGCCAAGTACAAGCCTGAGGAAATGGGCAGTTTGCTGTGTGCATTTACTGTGGTATGCTGCTGCTGCTGCTGCTGGGAGCTGACACAGAGACTGCATGTCTTTATATGGCACCAAAGTGCACTTTGTCTGTGCTGACAGAGAAGGACCGGGGCCAGCGTGACCCACAGTTACTCATCCCTCAGACAGAAGGAAAACATTTTGTCAGACTAACAAAAACACGATTCACTACTCAGCATCGCACACTGCAGGAGAAGCCCCGAGGCAGAGGGGAAAAATGTGGATATAATATTTAGCAGACCTGAGAGTTTGGTCAACTTTTAGGCCGATAAAAACGAACTCTCACAATATTTAGTGAACTGACGCTATAGCACATTACATGTATACATTCCACTGTTGTTGGTGCTCAGGTTCTTGATCCCCACCGTGCACTCGCCATGTGCTGTGAGTTTAGAACAGCAGCGGTGGTCAATAGTGATTCTTGAGCCTCTCTTTGAAGACAGGTCAATTTGACATGTTCAAGGCAGCTTTTATGTTGTACCTCACCATACATTAATACCAAACTGTTGCCCGAAAATGTACCAGAGTTAAATTTGTTGCTAGAAAAATACATTATAGGCTAAACAAAGTACATGACTGTTGTTCTGAATCTCATTAGATTTTATAGCCTGGTCGCCAGGCTGAAGAGATGGCATTTCCTGACATCACAATAGATTTTTTTGTTAATGTTCACAGACACCAGTTAAAGTCCAACAACATCCATTTCTTTCTTTTTTTCAGCCCTGTGTGTGCAGCTGTGGATGGAAATATGAAATGCTCCCAAATTAAAACACGGGGACTCCATATGCAGAAGTTTCCACCTTTAACAGAGAGAATCAGCATTTCTGGAGTGCTTCACTTGTTTCCCTGGTTACTAATATCCAGGCATCTGGACCTCTGGGGAGCTCTCTGCTCGGAGTTGCCCTCGCTCCTTGGCCGGTGAAGAAACCCACACAAAGGCTCATTTTGTGCGCAACAAAAGGCCAAATGAAACCCCAGCTGGACCGCTCCTGGCGAGGCGAGATTCCCACATCATTAAGTGTCGCACTGGACGAAAAAACGTAACTCTCCCTTCATAGAAAATCAGTGTTGGACCTGTCTTATTATTCAGACTTTATACTCAAAAGTTCTTCCTCGATTATTTCTCACAGTTTTACGCACGCCATTGTTCACCATCTTACTTTGTGTAGAAAGAGTTCTGCAGTTTAAATTAACCAGGCAATAGCTAATTATAAAGTAATTAATATTTATCATACTCTTGGGTGACGTTTTATAATTCTCACTCACAGAACAGATTGCTTCTGTCTGCAGGGACTCTCTGTTATCCCTCTGCTCTGTGCGTCTCTTTCATTTCAAGAAGTGGGTGTCTGCTGCCTTCACCCCCAAAACTACCATATCCAGGCTGCAGCATTTGAGACAAAAGGCTGTTTTTGAGGATGCTGCAGCCTGTTTTAAAACTTCACAAAAACACGGAGGCGGATCAGCAGCCTGCCATCACCATGGAGCGTGTCTCTCACCCGTGGCCAGCGTGCTGTTGCAGGACCACTCCTCGGAGCTGACGGGCTTCCAGCAGGACGTCCACAGGGACAGATAATACTGGTCGTCCGCCGTCACCCACGCCGGACTCAGCATGGCCCCGGCGTCCAGGCACAGCGCGAGGAACACGCACACCAGTCCCACCAACTTCAGGGGCGTCAGCACCGACACCCGCACCTCCTCTGTGCCGCTCACGGATGAAGCCATGTCCGATCTAAAGTAGCTCATTCAAAAACAAAAAAGTTGGAGAAGAACATGTGTGATTTCGAAACGGTGGTCCGTGTAGAAGTTGCGGCAGTCCCCCCTGCCTGTGCCCGGGATGAGGGAAGCAGGATGGGGACCTCCGCGCACTGTGCGTCCTGAGGAGCCGGAGCTGAGATCTGCTGAGAGCCGAGCTGAACATCACTGAAGTAACACGGAGCTGCTGCTGCTGGGTCCTAGTGCACACACACAGTCACACACGCGCACACACACACGCATAGCATCTCTCTCTGACTCTGTCTGATTCTATTTTTTAAATTATAATGCAATTTTAGATTTGTAGGTTAAAATACACCAGACATCCGTGAAAAGCTGCACAGAATGTGAAGTAGTTTTTACTCCATATCGACAGCTTTTCATGGATGTGATGTGTATTTTTATAACTCCCATTGAATGAAAAATACTGTATACATCACCGTGTTTTTAAAATGCGATTGGAAAATGTGGTGGCTTGCAGATGTAAATGTCACGTTCATGTAGAATATTGGCGAATTCAGTCATAAGAAAGTTTTCACACAAGTATTGTTGTTTTTTAAAATACATACAATGTGATGATATATTCGTTTCAGTGGTTTGGACTTTAAAACAGCTTTACTTGTGACACACTTCACTTCTTTCTCTGCTTTATCTCTTCACTTTACACTTGAACACCCCAATTATTGTCACACACACACACACACTCACACAAACAAACACACACACACACACACACACACACACACACACACACACACTGAGCTCAGGAAAGCTCACACTACAGTTTTTTTCCTAATTGAACTTAGCTAATTCTTTTTCCCGAGGGAAGAATTTGGGAATTAATACATATTGATTAACACACGCACTCAAACACACACACACACACACACACACACACACACACACACACACACACACACACACACACACACTCTTTTTAAAACAAATTAATTTAGGAGTTACATTTACAATCTCTTGTGAATTCACCATGAGTTCATGTACAATGTTATTAGCTGGTTGGTGGACCCACTCAATTAAATAACAGTGGTACTTCATAAAATGTTTCAGCAAGATTTAAACTTTTATACGTTTATGTTATTTCTTTTATATGCATGTTTATTATGTGAACAGTCACTCTTCACAGCAGTTTTGGTTTGTGTGTGTGTTTGTGTGTGAGGGGGGAGGGAGGGAGTGTGTAGGTCACCTGTTCCTGGCGGCAAAGTCTTTCAACATCATTACTGATGATTACAGATTGTAATCAGTAGAGGCTCACATGGTTGCAAACAGAGGAAACACACCTCCTCAGTGTAACGTTGCTGAGTTGCTCTACATTTGTTCACATGCGGAAAGTGTGTTACTGCTGAGTCTGAACATTTAAATGAATTTACACAGAACATTAAGCAAACAAATGGATAAGTCTTGTCTCTTCCTCTGTCATTAAGAACCAGCTGCCAATGAACCACCGCTGATCAGTTGATGAGAGTAAAAAACAAATGACTGCGGGTGAAGAGACAGGTAGATTTTCTTCATTAGTCCAGAGGGAGACTTGTTTCCACAGTTTTTCTCAGATCTTCAGCTGTAAACGTTCTGAATCTCAATTTCTAATGAGCTATGAGCAAATATGAGTCAGTCACCTGCAGATATAAATGTAAATTAATCATATGTTCAATGAACCCAACAGTTGCTCTTATCAATGGCTGATTACCAATGATCCATGAAGCCTCTGTAAATTATATATTGAGCATTCATAATTTATGATGTCATTTAGTATGTAAAGCTTTTATAAATGGTTGTTCATAAGAAACATTTTTATCCGTTTGACGAGCAATGTGATATTGAAGTATTGTACATTTTAATTAATACGCTTCTTATTCAAACCTTACTACTACTAAAGTCTGTTAATCAGAATCAGAATCGTGATTTATCGCCGAGCAGGTTTACACATGCAAAGAAATTTGCTGTGGTGTATTTGTGCAAATATAAATATAAAAATAGGAAA